AGTATCCTTCAGATCGACAGACCTCCGGACTCACCCCGGTCTACCTACCAACATAACCCCTCCAACCAAGAACAAAAAAAGAGTTCAAACAAATATAGCTACACAGAAAAGATACAAACCCCCCCGAGGTACCAAGACAACTGCCCCACTAGCGCTTCCCGCCCGCCCAACATGACATAAAATAACAGGAAAAAAACGAACAACAAGCCCAAGACCGTGTGCTGCGCGGGCCGTGCAAAAGAAAGCAAGCCCACTGTCCGGGGAAAAAGAAAGAGGCGGATTCCCCACCCCAAAACATTACCTTCAATGCACGTGCTACAAATCATAGTTGCCCCCAAAAAAAGGCAAGAAAAAAAAATAAATCCGCAGACTCGCTGAAGTCGCTTTTGCAATCCATCAGTCCAGTGTGTAAGTGTGTGTGGGCAGTCGTAGCCCCCGTGGTCGACCCCGCTCGCGAGACGAAACAAAGTGTACGGCCTGCAAAACCATCATGCGTTAAAGGGTGTGCAAAAAAGGGAATTCGTGAGATGAGTATGAAAAGGGGCTGTGTGTAGGAGCCGTAAAGGGGCGAATGCCGTGTGCAAAGGAAAAAGTCTAAATGGGTCGTAAATCTCATGTGTATAGGGTATCAGTTTCTTTTGGGCGATTGTGTCTTTGGGTGGGGGGTGGGCGAAACGAAAAGGCAGTCGAGTGGCCTCTTGATTTGGCATGCTGTTGTGGTACAGATTGTTTGTTTCATTCATTGCGGTTCCAACTGCTTGGTGGTCCGGCGACCGTATCTCCCCAATGGTATTGATGGTACAGGTTGTGGCAAGCTTCTCCTCTTCCCTGATATGCTCCCCAACTCTCCGTCAACCAACTTCTTCTCCTGGTCGGGGTCGTAATAGTAGGTCGCTGTGACCGACACGGAATGGACCGATGTGCTCAGAGGCAGCGTGTACTTGAATATACCTCGTACGATGAGCTCAAATGGGTATTGTAGCACTTCTTCCCAGCGATCCGAGCCACCGGCTTCTGTCTTGTTTCCAGGTTTCACTAGGTGTATCTCTCCAGTGGACTGTTCTACGTGGCGTTGGAAGAAGGATCCCTCAAAGGTCAATGGCGAGCCAAAGTGGGTAATTCGGCCGAGCAGCATCGTGCGCAGCTCGCCATCGATTGGATCGTTCCCTTCATCGATGCCGGCAACGCTCCTCTCCTCGCCATTCTCACGGACAGGAGGATCCACATGTGGCCAATCCCTTTCGTTGCCTCGTGGACCGTTTCCATGCTCGCGCCACCACTTGTCAGTGCCAACGTGCTTGCTTTTTGCGAATATGCTCACTTCCATATCAGCAATGGTGACGCCAATGATGTTGGGATTGGTGGCATTCACGACGAGATCAAACATAATCTCCTCCTGACTAGCAACCACATTGCGTACACTGTCCACCACGACGCCGACAAGCGGCTTCGTGGTTGCAAACACCAGGCCGGCGGAGCTGAAGATGACAACCAGCAAAAGTATCGACAGCACCAGGCATCCCGCGAACCTGCGACACCATCCGCCATTCTGCCGATGTCGACGTTCCAAGTGGCGTGTCGTAGCGCTATTCCTTCGACGCGGCGTTCGAACGCGTGGGCTTCGGCCCGATGGGATCAGCGGCGTCCGCTCATCATCGGCTACGTGCTCCACATCAATGTCGTAAGCGGCTGAATATTCGCCATGTTTCTTGCTGCCGTTAGTGCTGCCATGCCCGTTGCCAACGTTGAAGGCATGAAAGCGAGGGCTATTGGGCTGCGAGACCTGTCGTGACGACGGCCCACGGGCACGCGACGACTGTGGCATGGAGGAGTCGCTGTCCATCACCAGGTGGTTTAGCGCTCCACGCCCTTGACCGTGTCTTCCAATGTGATGGTGGTGGCTGCCGCCGCCTGCTCGTCCAGACCCGATGCGAATCGTACCATCGCCCCGATCCATGGCATCTCCATCGATGCTCGGGTTGTTGTAAGGATTTGTGAACTTCATGCTACTCTTCTTGTTCGGATTCTTGTGCGCGTCACGAATGGCTAGTCGTGGGTCCGCCAGACTGGTAATCGATGTCATGCTCGGCGTCCGCGAGTGATGCTGACGGCTTCGGTGCGGCTGCTGTTCGGGCGGGTTCGACTCGTAAATAAAGGTCGCGTCCGAGTCGGACGAGTTCTCGTCGACGGCGCTTGCGACCTTTTGCTCGAAGACGTCGGCCTTGGAGGAAGCTTTACGATGGCTAGCGTTAGTAGCCGAATAAAAATATCTGAGGGCAGGGGGTTGGGGAGAAAGCATGCGCATCTCTGGACTCGGGGGTGACACTGTCAACAAGGACCGTCGGTCGTCATATGAGCGATATGAGAGCGGACTTCCCAGTGAAGATGTCGTCTTGGCGCGAGAGCCGACTTGCGGCCGCCTCGGCGTGCTGTAATGATACGAGATGTGCGGCGACCTACCAGTGCCTGAATTAATAGACGGTGCTTTGCGCTTCGGAGGCTCCCTTTTCTTCTTGGGGCGTATCGTTTCGTTGCTGGGCTTGAGCCGCAGGCTTCCGTCTACCCGGCCGGACAACGAGCGGTCCTGGTTTCCGATTGTGGGCTGTGCTACTGACGGGACCGTCTCCGTCTCTACCGTCATGTTGCGCAGAGGCGGATCCGTGCGCGACCTGGTCGAAAGCGACGAAAGAGAGGGTTTCGTGGAGACGGTGGTAGGCCGTTGTGTGGAAGCCGCTCGTTTCTCCTGCATCTTCCCTTTTCTGCCGGATCTCGTGGCACTGTCGCTCCCACTCTCGGCGGCGTTCTTGGTGTTGTGGTTGAGTCTGGTGCTGAGGTCTTCTGTGACTTTGGACGGGCTGACGTCATTGCGCTCTTCGTCGGAGGCCTTGTGTGTAGATGCTGTGGGAAGAAGACTGGTGGTTGCAACCGTCAGTAAAGGGGTTTCGTGTTAGGCTTCGGTACTCTCTTCGTTGCAGCATTCGGCGTGCATGCAAAACACGGGAGGGTGAGTGGGGGCGATTTGTGGGGAAAAGGCTTACATTTGCGAATCGAGACCGTCGAAACCAGGCGTGGCAGGCAGACTGGATTCCTGGACCGTCTCCAGCTTGGGGGCGGCACCGCTGGCACCACGAGACGGCCCTTTGGCGCTCATCACAGGCTCGTCGGGCTCACTGGCGGAAGCGTCGTCTCGGACAGGGAAACGGGCCAAGGAGGCTGGCGAGGAGCTCTGTACGACAATGGCGGGAGTGGATTGCGCCTCGGGCTTCCTGATCTGGGAGCGCAGGGAGTTGGCGCGGGAGCGAGAGCGGCCGTCGTCGGTCGGGGGTGGAGACTTGAGACGCGGCGAGATGGGCCAGTGAGGGGTGGAGTCGCCAGAATTGGGGCCACAGACGGACTTGAGAGGGCGGGGCGGCCTCGCGGTGTCTGCGGCAGACGTGGGAGTGAGCTCTGGGATGCTCGTCGACGACAGGGCGCGTTGTATCGAGACAGCAGAGGGAGCCTTGGCACTGGAACCGGCAAGACTGGACACGCGGCTGGGGCTCACATCGGTGCTGCTCTTGGGTGAACGAAAGCCGGACCTCGGGTTGCTTCCTGCGGGGGCTGCGGCGCGTTTGGTTGGGCGTGCGGGCGATGCGTCTCGCGAGGAGAGGGGAGAGGTCGAGGAAGAAGGGTTGGCGTGGAGTGCTCGCGGGCCAACAAACGAGTGGTTGCGCAACGGTGCAGGGTGGGCGTTCTCGGTAGGGCCAGGCGAGGAAGCGGCAGGAGCAGTGGGAGCCGGGGCCGGAGCAGGAGCAGGAGCAGGAGCAGGTGTTTTGCGGGCCTTGCTTACAGACGGGTCGAGGGAGAGTGCGGGTGCAAGTGCCGGAGCAGGAGCAGGAGCAGGAGCAGGAGCAGATGCAGATGCAGATGCTGGGGTATGATGTGTGGATGATGCGGGTGCAGGCGTAGGCGTCGGTGTAGGCGTGGGTGTGGTTGTGCTCGTCGTTGTAGGCGTAGGCGACCGTTCTGCTGACTCCATGATACCGATGATGGAGTGAAAGCCGTCGTCAGAGGCCATCGAAGTCATGTTGGTGGTGGTGCAGTCGTCTCAATGGGCAGCGCCTCTTCCGGGCATCCTGTGCAGATGCGCAGATGATACACACACGCACACACGCAGACAGGCGATTGCTTCCGGCCACTGTTTGGCCTCACGCCTTTGCGAGCTTTCAACGGGGGCCTGGGACAGACAGCAGCGAGGCCAGTGCCGTCGTCACCGTCACCGTCACCGTCACCGTCACCGTCACCGTCACGCACGCTCAATGGGGGCGCTCTGGCCAGCACGCGGCAGGCGGTCGTTGGACGGCGCCGCAGCGCGGGGGTTTCGCTGGCAAGGCAGGACGAGGGACAGTGTGGCGTGCAGACAACAGGCGCATTTGCAGCGGGAGGGGGGATAGAGGGGTTTAGGGGAGCGGAGAGGAGGGAAGGGAGAAGGATGTTGGTGTGGCGATGGGAGATCGGGTGTGGGTGTGTGTGTGTGTGTGTGTGTGTGTGTGTGCAAGAAGACCAGAGTCCAGACAGGCGACAGGCAGTCAGCGCCCTGGAGATGTCGGGGCTTGTTCTGTCCTTGCCATTCATCCCTCCCAATTCCCGCCTGGCTTGCTTTCCCGCCCTTTGTTTTTGGCGTCCGGCCCGCCCGCGTCGCTGACGGAGGATGAATGATGCATGGATGCATGGGCCGACGACTTTCAGGCACGGAAGCGAAGCACCGAAGCCAGGCGAAGGAAGAAACTGCCAGCGCATCGCTCGCATTACCCTTACAGAGAGTACGTGACAGGCTACGGCAACGAGTAGATACATGCCTCTATACATGCATACATACAGACAGACAGACAGACATACTCTACTACAAAGACTGCCTGTAACCCGCCAGAATACACGGCGAACGAGGCTCCTTCAGGCAGCTAGAGAGTACGGGAACCGCCCATCCGCCATCACCCATTCAATACGCCCAATACGTCCAAGACGATGCGCCCAAATGCGCCAAACCACTGCTGCAGCTGCGTGAACCCGCTGTGCAACCTTTCTTTCTCTCTCTCTTTCTCTCTCTCTCCCTCCCTCCCCCTCCCTCTCTCTCTCCCCTCCTGTCCAACGACCGCCAGAGTGAGCCGTATTGGATAGGGCTGTGCCGGGAGAAGGTCCGTTAGCATGGGCCCTCCATTTCCCTCCGACGCCGTCCACGACTGCGAGCCCTCCACGTGCCCTGCCACCCACGCCTACCCACACCGCCTCACAGAAAGAAAGAAAAGAAAAGAAGATGAAAAAACTACATTGTACAGCATGTACACGACGCGACGACGCGTGGGCTGCTCTGCGCAATCAACCCCCACCCCCACCCTGTTCATCACCCCCACTGGCCTAATCATCTCACTCCATCTCATCCCAAGACCAAACAAAGTGACAAATTCCATAGGTAGCCTACTCCCTGTCCTCTGTTTGGACATTACCTTGCTCTGTGCGCAAGCGGTCAGAGTCAAAAGTCTGGTAATAGAGTAGCATCCATGACCGTCAGCCTCAAAAAAAAGGGCGGTGGCGGTGTCTCAGCGTCGTGCAAGACATCCTAGGCAGCATGGATCCGCAACCAAAGGTAGAAGCTGAATCATATCGCACCCAATCTTCAAGTGTAGGACGGCTGCATGCGACTAGATGGAACTTGGAGGGACCCTCAGGTTCATCATAGAGTCTCGGTCCAGTTCTGGCTTGTCGGTGCTAGTCTAGTCTCTCTTCGTGGCGAAAAAGTGTCATTGTGAGCGATTTAATGAGAAATGGTCCCAACCTGAGCCGTGTGGGGAAGCCATCCCTCGCCGTGTGAGAACAAGACTGTGTTGAGAGATTGTACATCTCCCAGGACAACATGTTGTTCGTTGTCCGTTGGATGACATTGCTGCCATCGAAGCATGCAGATCAACTGCCATGACAGGCAGACAGACTTTGGCAAGCCCATCGCCAGAACAAGTCTAGCCATTACGCGTGATCACGAGACACTGTGGGGGAACTCCCAGCCCTACCTACTAGAGTACACAGTAGAGCCTCAACCCACTTCTCGCTACTCCTGTCGTTGTCAAAGACGCCTGCCTACCCCCAACACGATTCCTTTCTAGTACATGGCATCTTCCGGACACTGTCAATGACCTAACATGCTCATCTACAGGTTCAGGCCAACCACTTGAGCCGTAGATCAGCTCGCTGGACGCTGGTACAGGAGCTGCCTCTCTTTCACTCCCATTGAGGGTGAACAAAGTCACAATACTTCTTGACACTGTGCTCGACCGCACGATGCGCCGGGACTATATAGTGGACGCAATGACACATGATTCTCCTCATCAATCACATCGCTCCTCAAACACTCGCAAACACTGCAATTAGGCGCCATGAAGACATCCAAGTATGCACCGAGAACCCCAGCCGAGACTCTCGCCCAGTCCAAGGCTGAAAAGCTGAGCAAAGAAAAAGAGCGGGCCACTCGTCTACTGTTTCGAATTCGATGGAAGGCTGAGCTACTCATGGTCTCCTACTACCGAACAATGGAGATTGTCCAGGCTGAACTCCAGAACAACAACAATCACGAGACCCTTCACGCCATGCAGAGCGGTGCTACTAGTGCAAGTGCCTATAGCCAACAGAACATGCGCTCGAGTGCTAACTTGGTCCAGAAACAAGCCGAGTCCATGTTCAAGGTGGACTTTTTTGAGTGGTACACACTCTTGGAACGCTACATGACCGACTGCCTCGCCGTCTTTGGCTTCAGCGTCTCTGCCTCTGCTCCTCGCATCAACGTCAACGCTCTTCGATACATTACGAATCCATCACGCCAGATGGCCTCCCATGCCTTTCACGCCAATTTACTAGAAGCCTTGGACGACGAGAAGTGCCCACTACATGCATCGCTCGGCGTCCAAGAGGTCCGAGTACAGCTCGGCTTGGCAAAAGACTATCGCAACGCATGGAAGGGCGCGGATGAAAAGGCAGCCTTGCCATCCAAAACCGATACCGAGGAAGAAGCCCGCAAGAACATTCCGCTCCAAGACCTGCAGCTCGAGCCCATGCTGCGTACTATCATCCTCGGCTGTGAACAAGCTCATGGAGTAGTGCAAGCATACAGTCACACGAACGGGAACAATCTCACGAGTCGGGATTTCCAGTCTCAAATGTACGGCCACACCAGCATGGAGGCCGATGACCAGCCTTTTGAGTATATGGATGACGCTATGGAGCTAGACTAAGACCGCGTCACAGCGCGCAGTCGTCTTGTCATGGCCGGATCGTCGCCCGTCTACTCATCATGCTGAACACGTTATTCGCCAAGTAAGTTTCCATCATCGCAACACCAAGACTTTGCTCCTCGTTTCAAAAGTTTCTCAAGTCTACTTCTATCCCCATAGTCTACATCTCAACACACATAACTCTGCCCCCCATCCAACCTCTCCAAGATTCCAGTAAAATCATTGCTCTCCCTCCGCCGTTCCTGCTCAATCCCCGCTTTCCGTACCAAATCCAACTCTTCCCTCCCCCTCTCCTCCTCTTCCTCCTCCAAAACACTATCAGCCCGCTCCCTCCCACCACCCCTCCCCATCCCCCTCCTCACTTCCTCCTCATACTCCCCCACCCCCCTCTCCCAACACTCCCCACACACTCCCCCCACACAAACCACAACACGAAACCGCCATTCCTTGCGGCCCAACATTCCCCTACAATGCCCACACCCCAACGGTACAACCACAGTTTCCAGATCCCCGGGCCGTCGTCGAGACCCTTTACTCGTTCGCGTTTGCAATATTCGCTCTCCTCCCTTTTGTCGCTGCACTCCGTCTAGAATGACTAGGCCATCTGATTTACACCACCACACCGGTCGCTTTCCCAGTGCCGTTCGCGCGCTTGTCGAAGTGCGGAGGGAGGGTGGTGGTGTTGTGGTGGGCGGGGGGAAGAGACAGGCTGGTCCTGTTGGTTTTTGGGAGGGCGTCGTGTTTTCCGGGCGGGTTGGTTGGGTTGTTGATGGATGGTGGAGTGTTTGTTTTGGGTTGGGGCTTGTGCTTGCGCTTGTGGTTGCTGCCATGATCGTTGTCGTTGTTGTCGTTGTCGGCGTGTGGATTGGGAGTGTGATTGCGGCTGTGGCTGTGCTTGTGCTTATCCGGTATAACATCGCCTCCAATTAGTTCATTTGGCCTCG